AAATACAAACCTACCTCTGAATTTGGCCAGGTAGATGCATTATCACGGCTGCTAAGCCATCAGAAGTTGGAAAGCGAGGATGTTGTTATTGCATCCATCTCTGTTGAAGATGATGTAAACAGAGTTCTGGTAGGCGCGACTCAACTTCTTCCGGTGACTGCAGTTGAGGTTGCCAGACACACACTGCGTGATCCAGTTTTACAGCAAGTATCAAAGTTCATCCGATTTGGCTGGCCTCCACATGTTCATTCAAATGTTTTAAAACAGTTTTACCAGCGACGCCAATCCCTATCCATCGTTAATGAATGCATAATGTTTGCTGATCGTGTTGTGGTTCCAGCTAATCTTCGTGACCATGTGCTTCGGCAGCTTCATATATCACATCCTGGTGTTGGGAGAATGAAGGCGATCGCTCGCAGTTATGTTTACTGGCCCAACATCGATGACCATATCGAAGACCTCGTTCGCAAGTGTAGTAAATGTGCTCAAGCATCAAAGTGTCCACGCAAGACAGAACTATGTTCCTGGCCACGACCGGACAAACCATGGTCCCGTGTTCATGTTGACTTCGCTGGACCGTTCAATAGTATGCATTTCTTAATATGTGTCGACGCGTTTTCCAAATGGCCAGAGATATTTCCTATGCATTCTGCCACATCAATTGCAACAGTGTCCCACCTACGTCAACTATTCTGTCGTTTTGGTATGCCTGATGTTCTGGTGTCCGATAATGGATCGCAGTTCACCTCATCACTGTTCTCAGATTTCTGCAAACTGTTTGGCATCCAGCATATTCGTAGCCCCCCGTATCATCCCCAATCGAATGGACAGGCTGAACGTTTCGTCGACACCTTTAAGCGTGCTTATGCAAAAGCGAAGGGGGAGGGAACAACAGAAGAAATTTTGGATAGATTCTTGCTGCATTATCGTACGACGCCAAATCCTTCCGCCCCAAATCAGTTATCCCCAGCGGAAATTATATTTGGCCGAAAGATCAGAACTGCCCTCGACTCAATTAAGCCTAGGCAAGTAAAGCAGGGCTGCAGAAATACAAAAATGGAAAACCAATTCAATCGCCATCACGGAGCTAAACGTCGAGTTTTCAAATTGTATCAGCAAGTTTATGTACGAGATTTTCGCTATTCACCTCCGAGATGGATTCGAGGACAAATAGTGGGGCAGAAAGGAAGGGTTTTATACAAAGTGAATGTAGAAGGACAGTTATGTGTCAGACACACGAATCATATACGAGATGCGTCAGATAGACCTGACAATGGGAGACGAGACCTCACGTTAGAAGTATTAGTAGATACATTTAATCTTCCGCAGCCGGAAGCCCGGGACACAGATCACACTCTATCCAGTACCATGCGAAGGTCAACTCGACAAAGAAGAGCTCCGAAACCTTTTCAAATAGATCCAAAAAGCAAGTCCTACACTCTTTACGGGGGGAGGTGATAGGATCCCACATATTTTGGTAGTGACTGCTAATTTTGTATATCATCATTCTCACGCATTTTGGTAGTGACTGCTAATTTTGTATATATGGTATATAATCATTCCCACGCATTTTGTTACTGACTGTCAACCTTGCACATATGGTGTATTATCATCTCTCACGCACTTTGTTATTGGCTATTAAGATAAATTATTTCAAATGCTGTTAGCTGTCCATATTGTTGTAAAATGTATAAATACCATGGCTTTCTTTATCGTTGTTGCACTTCAATACACAGTCACAGTCCAGCCTTTGTCTTTTGATATTTGCGTGCTTTACTAAGTCGGAAGGTACGACAAGCAGATAGACAGATTAGTTCAGGCGCAGACAGAATAAGGTGAAAACGTCTTCATTCAATTCCCTACAGTTATAACAGGTGACGCCACCATTACAAAAACGTTTGGAAGGAAGGAAAGGTGCCTACTGATTGGAAGAAAGGCTGGCTCGGCCTCCGGAAAAACTGGAGTGGAATAATGCTTTCCTTCACACCAAGTAAAATATTAAGTCGAATCATTCCTGGAGAGAATAAAAGATGCACGGATGCAGAACTCTCCTCCATGCAACAAGCTGGATTGAGAAAAGGTGAATCATGAGCGGATCAAATTGCAACACTACACATCATTATCATCACAGAACAAAGCATAGAATGGCAGTTAAACCTCTGTCTCAACGTCGTCGACTGTGAAATGGCCTACGAAGTAATTTGGGAACTACTTCAACAACACTATGGCGTATACAGTGACCAAATATTCATCAACCTCATTCAAACGCAGATAGATGACAATACCATGTGTCAGGTGATACACAACAGAAAACTTAGCGAGGCGTTTGAGGTAAAGGCAGGAAAAAGACAAAGGTTGTCTACTATCATCAATGATATTGCTAATTATCGTGGACTGGATTATACGTCACACTGTACATGGGAGAAAGCGAATGGACGAATATATTGGACTGAAAAAGAAAACTCTAGGAGATCTGGATTTCGTACGGGGATGATTTACATCTAATGTCTCATAAATTTGAAGACTTACAGACGAAAACCAACGAACTGGCTGGCTGGCTGGCTGAATAGGCTGACAGACAAGACAGGACCAAGTTCATGGTTGGTTGTTCCATACGGGTTTGGTATTTAAGTGGATCAACAATCAAACAAAGCCACCCTAACATAGACAAGATTTACCAATTCATAAGAAGGAAATCACATGAACAGAAAGTTCTTCAGTCGCCCAGTGATCTGTAGAAGCCTCAAGGACAAGATCCCGCATCTGACCACTTCTATGTGCATATATCAGTTCACCTGCTGCTGTGGGACCAGCCAGGTACATCAGTCGTTCGACGCGCATCCTGTCCAAGAGGATTCAAGAACACTATCCAGCCAGTATGGTTGCAAAAAGGCAATAGTGGTGCAATAAGGAGTGCGATAATTGAACACCTGGTTAACACTGATTATTTCATTTCAACAAACACCTCCTGCTTCAAAGTAATCTACAGAGTCAAGAATAACCTACAGAAGGCAATACGATTTCGTCTTCTTTGTATCGCTGAAGCTCTGGCCATTCACATAGAAAAACTGGAGCTGTGTATACAAAAGAAGATTACTCAACCACTTTCACTGTCATGGTAACAACCTTTTTGTTTTCATTTGATTTGATGAATTCATTTTGTTTGTTTGCCTGTTCTTTAACTGCTTAAAACTCTTGTATTCATTCTGAACTATTACGTAATTCCGTATTATCTACTTTGTTTCTATGCGCATCCTGAGTAAAACTCACTCATCAAACTATTCATATCATCACATAACTTGTTTTAACAACTGATTGTGACAACTCATCATCTTTTTTACTACCCTAATTTCATTAACAACTAATTTTCTTGACTTGTATTACCAATCTTCACCTGTTTAGTTAAAATAACCATAACTAATTGTAATTTTGTTTGACAAACTTAATGTACACATACATACAAAATAACTTATATATATATTTGCGATTGTACAGCTAAGAAAATGAATTCGCCGGGGAATGGAGACTCTTCGCTGATCTACGTGTTTTGTTTTCAGAAAGTCAAACATCAGGTTAAGAAAACAATCAGTATAATACAAATGCCGAGAAAATACATCCCACTGATCAAGACACTCTACTCAAACTCATGCAGCTAGCCAGGAGAGAACTTACAGCGAACTGTCATCTGAACTGGTAACAACTAATGGTGTCCGTCAGGGATGCCCAATATCCCCATTTCTATTCAGTTTCATCACAGATGTACTGATGAAATTAATCCTAACTAACTTCAGAGACTCAGGGATTGATTAGCTTGTTACCAGTGAATTATCTCTCTAACTTAGAATATGCAGATGATATAGTCCTCCCGCCTAGGTGAATACAAAATGCAGAGTCTTCTAAACACCTTGATAGGCAGTAATCTACGAATATCTGGCATGCGAGTCGCTCCTCCTGTCAAATGTAAGATGATTTTATAGAACTGAACTGGACTACACTGACTCCTAGCTTAGAAATAGGGAGTGAAGTGGCTGGTTGAGCGTGCTGACCACTTCACTTAATTGGAAAACTGCATCAGCCAGCCCCAGCGGGTTGGTCGCTGACGAGATCTCATAACGGATACAGATAGCTAGTTTCGCTTATGCCAGTTTACGCCGTCTCTGGCTTAGTAGACGTGATATCCGTGTGTGCACTGCTTATCAGAGTCCGCTCCGTCCTACTTTATGGCTGTCAGGGGGACTTGTGGATTGAAGGTGAAAAACGTAAAAAGACTGGCTATCTGTCTTTTATCATAGATGTCTGAGTTCTATCTGCCGTGTCAGGTGGTAGTATAATAGGGTGAGCAATATTGAGGTGAGGCATCGGTCAAGTACTAGGTAAGGAGGGGAAATCAATAGACGAGGCTGTGATGCTATATCGACTGAGATGGTTAAGATACGTGTTACGTATGCTAGCCTAGTCATCGCCTTCCTCGACAATGGGAAATGTTAGCTGACATAAGGTCGGGCTGATAAAGAGCTAGCGGTGGTAAAACCAAAACATGGCACCAGTCAATGAAATCTACAACAGTCAGTTTAAGCCACATAGGGAGGTGTAGATTTCTTCGTTGAGGTCCTCGGGACGGTTAACACCAATTACAGCTGGAGACAATCGGTGATATGGCTGACTCAAAATCGTTCTCAGCGATGGCTGGTGCAGATGCATCCACTCCTTGTGACTTATAGTATCCAATAAAACTATATTTTTCTTCGTTATTACTATTCCTTTTGTCTCATATCCCTCCCTAGTGTCTCTATTTTGCATTTTATTTTTCTTTTCTTTTCTCGTTTTGTGTGCTACATAGAGTCTGGCAACTCGAAATGTTGTACATCGGTGCAAAGTTGTTCTACGTTGAAACCAGACAGACAAAATCATCCATCCACCTGACTTGAACTACAAATCCTCTCAACAGAAAACTTATTTATACACCCATGAAAACTCAACCGTGAAAAAACACAAAAGGTATAAAAAACCAGTTTTAAAATAATCTGAATGAGAATGTACCACTTAAAAAAAATATGAATTTATATATTTCTATATGCATAATATCTAAGCGCCTTTTTTAACTTCATTTCTGTTTCTTTTTAACAAAACTGTGGTCTTGGCATCAAACTCTTTGTTGATTCACAAAAACTTAAACGTGATGATGTACTTCTTTGAAGTAGGAGACTTTGTTCAATATTTTGATATTTTAAAGGTATACTAGAATGTCGTTGACTTTTTGATGTGCTACAAAAATACGGATGACGTAGAGCATCATGTGCAGTTATACGTTTCCGTGGACATGGTTCTAAAAGACGCGCCAATAGATCATAAGCTGAGTTGGGGAAAATATGCGTAGATGATAAAGCGATTGTATTTTTTGGTGGGGTATCTTGAACAACTTCGGTATTATTTTGTGGACACGTGACACCACCACCTGAAGTAATCGACTCTGTTGATATAGACTTAGAGAGTAGAGGAGGTAAACCGGCAAATTTTTTCTCATATCGTCTGATTGCAGTACATCTAGATAAGACGAAAAAGGAGGACAGCCAAGAAAAAAATCAATGAAAAAAGGAAGTGAAATATATATTCAATCTCTAAATAATTCGATGGATGGATGGATAGTAACTAGCAGTGGAATCCATCAGGATGAGCCACATCTTGATTCACCTGCATTCTCAGTGAGCGAATGATAGTGTTCCCCCATTGAGGCTCGAACCCAGTACCACCCTTCGTTTGAAACACCAAAGCGGTGTCCCCACTAGACCAACTGGACAACGAAGGCCACTACACACCACTTCTTGTGCAACAGGTGTATCAGTTTTTATTCATCTTCAATTCAATTTTGATTTTCACGCTGATAGATTGAACCGGCCACTGTTGACTTGTCAGCGCCCTGTAAAGATGCTTCGACGATATCTGAAGTAATTTGGGTAAATAGTGACAGATGTAACCTCAAAAGAGGCTGAAAATTATGGTCCATTCAGTCAACGGGGAAATTAAAATTGCATTAAACATTTATACTCATATTCTTTGTTAAAATTTTCATCTCGTTATCCAGCAAGACTTTTAATTTTATTATTTTATTCAAGTGTTGGTTTGCAGGCATTTTAATAATAATAATAATTTCGCTTTATTCCAGAAACAGTATTAGTGGTACAGTGTGAAATTTTCAGCACATATCTGTCTGTCTGTCTGTTTTCGACATAGAACTTTGCAAGTTCAAGTCGCCACACTCCCTCCTTGTAGCACACAAAGCAAGAGAAGAAAGTACAAGAAAAGCATAATAGAGACAGTAAGCAGAGGTGTGAGACAAAGGAGGAGTAATAACGAAGAACAAAACAGTTTCACTGGAAATCATAGGTTACAAGGAGTGGATGCATCTGCGCTGGCCACTGAGGACGATTTTGAGCCATGTCACCAATTGTTTTCAACCATAGATTTTTACCGTCCCGAGGACCCCAGCCTGGAAGTCTACACCTTCCTACATGGCTTAGACCAACTGTTGTGGATTTCATTGACTGGTGAGGCCAAGTATTTGTTTGACCACCGCTAGCTTTTTTCCAGCCTGACCCTATATCCGCTAACAAAGCTCGTCGAGGAAGGCGATGATTAGGCATACGAAATCTCAGCACGGATACAGAAGGCTAGTTTCGCATATGCCAGTTTACGCCGTCTCTGGCGTAGACGTGATATCCAACTATCGACTAAAGGACGGGTGTACTGCTTATCAGTCCGCTCCGTCCTCCTTTATGGCTGCGAGCAAGACATGGCCATTGAGAGTGAAAGACATGAAAAGATTAGCTGTCTTTGATCATAAGTGCCTGTGTTCTATCTGCCGTGTCAGGTGGTAGTATAATAGGGTGAGCAATATTGTGGTTAGGTGTCGAGTTCTAGGTAAAGAGGGGAAATCAATCGACGAGGTTATGAAGTTACATCGACTGAGATGGTTAGGACAGGTGTTACGTATGCCTAGTCATATCTACAATATGGCATTTAATTTTATCAAAGATTAAAAAGGACTATTCCAAAATATAAATATAAAGACAACAACATAAACTAAAAAACACACAAATAACAAAAATGCGGGAAGAAATACCAAGAAGTAGAAAGGAAAATAAACTACAATAATAAATAATATCTCAGTATTGGGTAGTGGAAGCTGTGATATGTTTATGCGTGGTGAACAGTAACAGCTATAGTCATACTAGAAGTTGTGAAATGATATTTAAGAATGTTTATCGCCACAAGATGATCAGTTCATTTTGATTGAACAACACTAAACAATCATAAAATAAACATTTCAGGGTTGCTTTTTTATTACCAGCTCTAATGCGGTGTTTGTAGTGGTAGTGTGTTAGTAATCCTGCATAATACAAAATTTTTAAGATGGTGATAATGGCGTTCACAACCAAGATTGTCAGTTAATATTGCCGAACAAAAAAAAACAATCACAAAACTAATATTACGTGATGGTTAATGACAGGACAATTTTGTAATAATCATAGTGATAATATAGTCGGAACCAGTAGACACGCAAAAGAAAGAATACAGTAAAGTACAAAGAAAGTAAGCCAATGTTAATAATTTAAGTAGCTAAGTATGTTTATAGATGGTATTCACTATAGAATACAAATAAGAGAGAAATAAAAGACCCTAAAATTATGCTATTAACAACAAAGTAAGTCATAGATTTTGCGCTTAACATTGTCTCTGTTACTTAAAACACGGGCCAAATATGGTATCGTTGTAAGAGTATATATTATTTCGTACTGATTTCTGGTTCTACCTGATGAGATACAAGGGGAGAGTTGGGAATAGAGGGGGTGCTGGGGTTCGGACAGAGTGCAGTTTTAGACCATTTTTCGCATGTATTCAGATGCCTTTCTCTACTAATGTAGTGACAAGCTGACTGAGTTTGGTTACGCCATTTTATACTGAGGTGACACATTGGTTAGAGAAGTATTGGATAACCGTTTTGTTCTGGTTTCGAATTCTTCATCAGTACTCATCTACAACCTCAAGGGTTCGAACCCAGGGCCTTTCGGTTAAAAATCAAGTTCGTAGACTATTCAGTTACCACTATTCTAAATGATGTCAACTTGTGGTTAAACCTATAAACAATCAAATCCCTACAGAGAAACAACACTTAATAAATAATAATTTGAACAAAGCAAGAACTACAGTTTTAGCAAAATGAAATGGTACCATCTTTTATTTCGTTACCTTCTCGTTAGCTGCTTACATGGCAAAGACATTATTAAATATATCTACAACACCAATTTTAACATACTTGCACAGAGTTCATTTTAAACAAAAATCAATCGGTCAATATATGCATACAGTAATTATATATATAATATTAAACACTATTTCGTACAATAATAATCATATACAATGGAAACATTTAAGCATTTCGCATTCGGAAGAAAGAGGTGAAAATATCCAGTTACCAGGGCAAAGAAAGACTGATAACCGCTTCTTTCTGGACACATATATCAGGTTTCAGGCGCTTGATCCCGACCGAAAGCTGCTACCTTGACGTGGTGGTTGGGCTTGAACACCGTAATGACCTATTCAAGCTATACTGGCTGAGACTTATATCTCTTGAGGTCCTACCATGCCAGAAAGGTTGTTTGGATAGCGGTTAAACAAAAAGCAGCTACCCAATCCAACATCATCATAAATACAAAATCACAAAATTTCATGCCGGATCGGCCGTGGCCCGGATTAACAACGACCGCGCTTCCTGCTGCCGTGTCACAGGGCAGGAGTGATAAGTATGCTACTGAGGCACACCAAACAAAAGAGAACGAACAAAAACAGGCCGCGTGTGACCGGCCTCAAGCAGTTGTCCCCTGGGCTCTGCGGTCACGCAACCAACTTCCACGGTGTGGGCAGCCGGGAAGTAACAATCGCCCTCACAATCCGAAACGCACGCGAAACCTCTCTATTACTCACTCATCTTTGTTTTCATCTTCATCTCTATCATCTTGCCTTCCTTCCACTGATGCAACTCCTCGACTTGATAGCTCTCCACTTCCTCTCCACTCTGCGTCCACTAAAAACGATGGAAGCCAAAAAACCACCACCGACAGCCTCTTAAAGCCGCGCCACCAATTTCATATAGGAGCTCTTAATGTTAGGACACTTTGCCAAATAGGACAACAAGCATCACTAGCCAAGACCCTGGCATCACGAGCCATTGATGTATGCTGTGTTTCAGAAACACGCATACAAGACCCAAGTGTGGTTATTCACCTAACCCCACCTGGCCAACAGGTTGAATCTGCAAAATTCACCTTGAGGGTGTCAGGAGATGCCACAGCTAGTTCACGAGGATTAGCTGGCGTAGGGATAGCTTTGAGTACTAGGGCAGAAAAGACATTGCTTGACTGGATCCCGGTAGATAGCCGAATGTGTGCTGTCCGTCTGAACGGATCAGTAAAAAGGAGAAAGGACTGCACTACTCGCCGATGCCTTTTCGTAATCTCCGCCTACGCCCCCACTGACTGCAGTTCAGATGAAACGAAGGATGAGTTCTACCAAAAGCTGTCTAGTTTGGTGCGAAAGGCTAAACGCTCAGACATAGTCGTTCTAGCTGGTGACTTTAACGCTCAAGTAGGGAAATTGTGTCAATCTGAGAAGGATGTCGGTGGCACCTATGGAGTTCCGTGCCAGCGAACCGACAACGGTGACCGTCTCCTACAGTTCTGCTCTGATAATCATTTGTTTCTTGTAAGCACTAACTTCAAACACAAGGAGAGACACTGTTTGACTTGGAGACCCCCTTCATCAAACCAACGCTGGACACAAATAGACCACATAGCAATAAGCTATCGTTGGCGTGGGTCGGTAGGAGATTGTCGCTCCTTCTGGAACACGTGTGTAGATACCGACCATGCACTGGTCCGCGCTCGGGTGTGCTTACGACTGAACGGACGTAGGAAACAGCTGGCGGTAAAACCATCACGTCCCCAGCTCGATCAGGAAACTAAATCCGTATTTGAGGAAGAACTAGCTAAACACATATCTGTGTTCGACAGCTGTGCTCACCCTGAAGAAGCTTGGAAAAATATCCAGGCAGCCATAGATACAGCTGTAAAAGCTGTGAATAAGGTAAACCCAAAGGTGAGTAAAAACCACTGGATCTCCACCGCCTCATCCGAACTGATAGATGCTAGAAGACTTATTCCGGCGAGCTCCGAATTCAATGAGGAGCGAAAGCTGCACAAGAGGAAACTTACGAAAAGTCTCCGCAAGGACCGTGAACAGTGATGGGTGACAAAAGCCAAAGAGATGGAGAAAGCTTCGAGGATAGGCAACACCAGGCAACTCTTTAGACTCATCAGGGAAACGGGTGGGAGAAGACAAATCATTAGTGAGACAATCTCGGAAAAAAATGGCACTATAATTAGCTGCCAGGATAGACGACTGGATCGTTGGAAAGAGCATTATGAGGAGCAGTTTAATTTGCCCACAGCCACGCTCAACCCTCCGAGCATCCAACACCTCCCTGAATGGGATATAGACACAGGTCCTCCGTCCCTAACTGAGGTTACTAAAGCTGTCACCAATCTGAAACTAGGCAAAGCAGCGGGACCTGATGGAATGACTCCAGAGGTATTTAAGTACGGTGGAGACAGCTTACTGTCTGGATTAACTGAGGTACTAGGCAGCGTCTGGGAATCAGAAGAAGTCCCATCGGGTTGGTGTAAGTCACTGATTATCCCCATATACAAGAAGGGAGACAAGTCTTCCTGTGATAATCACAGAGGGATTAGCTTGACTAATATAGTATCTAAAGTCTTAGGCTCAATAATCATGCGTAGACTGAGTGGTGCTCGGGAAGCACAAACACGAGAGAGCCAGGCAGGCTTTAGACCAGGAAGAGGGTGTATTGATCATATCTTCACCCTCCGACAGATTCTAGAACATAGGCATTCCTACCGGCGTCCAACAGTCATTATATTTCTTGACCTAAAGGCAGCATTCGACTCTGTCGATCGAGAAGTTCTCTGGAGATGCTTGGCTGTAAAGGGAATTCCGAGAAAATATATTGCACTGATTAAGGCACTCTACTCGTACTCATACAGCCAGGTGAGGGCTTACGGCGAGCTGTCATCTGAACTGATGACGACCAGTGGTGTCCGTCAAGGATGCCCATTATCCCCTTTTCTATTCAACTTCATCATAGATGTGTTAATGGACTTAACCCTAGGTGACTTCAGCGACTCAGGGATTGACTTGCTACCGGGGAATAATCTCGTTGACTTGGAATATGCAGACGATATAGTCCTTCTAGGCGAAGACGCTGACGAAATGCAGAGTCTTCTAAACACCTTGAGCCGCAATCTACGAATGTTTGGCATGCGATTCGCTCCCGCCAAATGCAAGATGATGTTACAGGACTGGACTACATCGACGCCTAGTTTAAAAATAGGAAGTGAAGTGGTAGAGCACGTTGACCGCTTCACTTATTTGGGAAGTACCATCAGCCCCAACGGGTTGATCTCTGACGAAATCTCAGCACGAATACAGGGGGCTCGTTTCGCATTTGCCAGTTTACGCCGACTCTGGCGTAGACGAGATGTTCGACTATCGACCAAAGGGCGGGTGTACTGCTCATCAGTCCGCTCCGTCCTCCTTTATGGCTGTGAGACCTGGCCACTGAGAGTGGAAGACATGAAAAGACTAGCTGTCTTTGATCATAGGTGCCTGCGCTCTATTTCCCGTGTAAAGTGGCATAATAAGGTGAGCAACATTGAGGTTAGGCGTCGAGTTCTAGGTAAACAGGGGAAATCAATCGACGAAGTCGTGAAGCTACAAAGACTGAGATGGTTAGGACATGTGTTACGTATGCCAAGCCATCGCCTCCCTCGACGAGCATTGTTAGCGGATATAGGGTCAGGCTGGAAAAAAGCTAGCGGCGGTCAAACAAAAACTTGGCACCAGTCAATGAAATCCACAACAGTTGGTCTAAGCCACGTAGGAAGGTGTAGACTTCCAGGCTGGGGTCCTCGGGACGGTAAAAATCTATGGTTGGAAACAATTGGTGACATGGCTCAAAATCGTTCTCAGTGGGCGCAGATGCATCCACTCCTTGTGACTTATGATCTCCAATGAAACTGTTTTGTTCTTCGTTATTACTCCTTTGTCTCACACCTCTGCTCACTGTTTCTGTTATGCTTTTCATGTACTTTCTTCTCTTGCTTTGTGTGCTACAAGGAGTGTGGCGACTTGAACTGTCGCACATTTGTGCAAAGTTCTATGTCGAAAACAGACAGGCAGTCAGGCGCTTGATGGAAATGGTTTCAGCAAACTTGAGCTCTTTTGCCTATTGATAATTTTGAACGACTTTTCGACGTCCAGCTCATGACCCGTGTCGAGGAGATGCCTGGCGATGCCACTGTTTAAAGCATTTGTTCCCTTTAGACGTAAGCTTTTTGGTACATGTTCAGAAAATCGTAGATATGCCCTTCTTTTTGTTCTTCCAATGTAACTGCTCCCGTCGATACATGTAAATTTGTATACACAGTTGGAGGTAACATGAGAAGGATATCTATCGATTTTTGACTGCACCAAAGAGCAAGTTGTTCGATAGATGATAACGAGCTTAGCTGCAGGATAGGCTATGGCTATGCACTCAGCCTTCTGTTGATCATCGCTGCAATATTTTCACCTTTATAATCAAGCTGAACGTAGACTGGCTTTTTTCCCACTGTGATTTGTTTTACATTTGTGACTTCAGATCTTCCATACTTGTTGATGAACTTTTGAGGATACCCATTTCTCTTCAATATCTTTTCAAGGAACTCAAACTCCTCCTCTAGTTTCTCTATAGAGCATATTCTCCTCGCTCTATAGTACAGAGTCTTGACTAGACCACGTTCAAAGCTATTTGGACAAAAGCTATTAAAATGCAAGTATTGTCCTTTCCATGTGGGCTTTCGATAAATTGACTTTTGAAGACTACCGTCTTCTAGGCGTTCCATGGCTATGTCGAGGAAGTGAAACTTTCCGTCACTTTCATGTTCCATAGTGAACTCAATATTGGCGCGTGCACCATTGAGTAATCTTAGTAAGTGTCAAGCATGACCTTCACTTTTGCAAACTAAAAATGTGTCACAAACATAACGACAGTAGGAAGATGTTTCGTCGATTGCATGCTTCAACTTTGTTCTTTCAAGGTTTGACATGAATATATCTGCTAGAACAGGGCTAAGTGGACTGCCCATAGCTACACCATCTATTTGGCGGTAAAAAGTGTTGTCAAGTTGGAATTGCACATCCATGGTACACATAAGCAGTAGGCGTTTGAATGTGTATGTGCAAGTATGTCAAAAATTGTTGTTGTAGATATATTTATTAATGTCTTTGCCATGTAAGCAGCTGACGAGAAGGTAACGAAATAAAAGATGGTACCATTTCATTCTGCTAAAACTGTAGTTCTTGCTTTGTTCAAATTCATTAGGGGGAATAAATGTATGAAATAATAATAATTATTTTCATTACACACTCATTTATCGCCAAAAAATATCCTAAGCATTCATGCTGAAAAAAAGAAACTGAGTTTAACAGATGAATTACCTTGTTTTAAGCCATGCAGCAGGTGAATCACTCGCCTCCATCGGTGATGGCCTAGGCTCAAGAACTAGCCTTCGTCCAATACTTCTTGCACCCATTTGCATACGTTCATAGCCTACTAAATGCGTAAAAGCATGCAGTACATCTAAGTCATCATCAACTTTCATGAAAGGATAACGTCCAGAAAGAAATGACAGAAAGATAACTCCAACAGCCCATATATCAACAGCCGTTGTCTGCTCCACATGACGCATCATTACTTCTGGTGGTCGAAAGCCAAGTGTTCCACCACGTCGAACTGCTGGAGCTCGCGGTAATTGTCGACAACCTCGACAAACAGTAAGTCGAGCCCCGCATACACAACCACCACCTTGTCCTAATGTCTGTGTTGTTGTATTCGACGATGCTGATGATGATGGTAATGATGACGCTGGTTGTTGATGAGTAGATTTCAAGAGAGTAGAACCTTTAAATGATGATGATGCTGATGATATATGATCAATTTTTTGAGATTGACATTTCAAACTGTATCTAGAATTCCCGGTGTCTATGCTATCCCATTTATGAGTTTGATTATTTTCTTTATTGGCTATAGTTAAGCGATGGGTGGATTCAGTTGACATAGAACGCTCCGACTAAAGACAAAAATATATAAAAATGGGGAAATTACGGATATAGAAAAGAAATAGGGAGTGAAATTATGTTGGTTTGAATTCACTAAGCCTTAAATGACTGACAGTTGACAAACGAGACGAATGATACAAATATATGTAGATATACCATGACTTGATAAAACACTTAAGCATTATTATTATTATTAATGATATGATAGAGAAGATTTGTAGCCCAGGTGGATGATTTTGATATGGTTGTGTTCTCTGAGCTAGCTGGATGGTTAATTTGCGAAGCCTTCATCACCCTACTTGTCAACATCTTCAGCGCATACTTCAATTTCGAAGTGAACTTTTAGCTTTCTCCACGAGTTTATTAATCATCTCTCCCGAAGGTTGACTTTGAACGTGATTGGTTGTTTTTGTGTGTTTTCACACCCTTTAGGCTACTTGTATTCGTATTGGTGTTGATTGTTTTCTTAACTTGAAATCTGACCCTTTGTGTGTGAGGTTCCCTTATATTGATTAATGATTCACTGGAATACCAGGCTGGCTTCTAGAAATTATCTAGCATTCTTGATGTTTCCTCTGTCTGTCTAATATTTGAACGCTGGTTGTCCCAGTCGAATTGATGTCCATGGTTCTCTGTATGCGGTGAGTTATATGATGGATGTCGTGTCTTTTGACAGCTACTTTATGATCGTGGATACGAATACGAAGAGGAGGATAGTCCACTTTGGCCAATGTCTGTCTGTCTGTTTTCGACATAGAACTTTGCACAAATGTGCGGAAGTTCAAGTCGCCACATTCCGTGTAGCACGCGAAGCAAGAGAAGAAAGTACAAGAAAAGCATAATAGAAACAGTGAGCAGAGGTGTGAGACAAAGGAGTAATAAAGGAAAACAAAACAGTTTCATTGGAAATCATAAGTCACAAGGAGTGGATGCATCTGCGCCACTGAGAACGATTTTGAGCCATGTCACCAATTGTTTCCAACCATAGATTTTTACCGTCCCGAGGACCCCAGCCTGGAAGTCTACACCTTCCTACGTGGCTTAGACCAACTGTTGTGGATTTCATTGACTGATGCCAAGTTTTTGTTTGACCGCCGCTAGCTTTTTTCCAGCCTGACCCTATATCCGCTAACATTGCTCGTCGAGGGAGGCGATGACTTGGCATACGTAACACATGTCCTAACCATCTCAGTCTTTGTAGCTTCACGACTTCGTCGATTGATTTCCCCTGTTTACCTAGAACTCTACGCCTAACCTCAATGTTGCTCACCTTATTATGCCACTTTACACGGGAAATAGAACGCAGGCACCTATGATCAAAGACAGCTAGTCTTTTCATGTCTTCCACTCTCAGTGGCCAGGTCTCACAACCATAAAGGAGGACGGAGCGGACTGATGAGCAGTACACCCGCCCTTTGGTCGATAGTCGAACATCTCGTCTACGCCAGAGTCGGCGTAAACTAACAAATGCGAAACGAGCCCCCTGTATTCGTGCTGAGATTTCGTCAGAGATCAACCCGTTGGGGCTGATGGTACTTCCCAAATAAGTGAAGCGGTCAACGTGCTCTACCACTTCACTTCCTATTTTTAAACTAGGCGTCGATGTAGTCCAGTCCTGTAACATCATCTTGCATTTGGCGGGAGCGAATCGCATGCCAAACATTCGTAGATTGCGGCTCAAGGTGTTTAGAAGACTCTGCATTTCGTCAGCGTCTTCGCCTAGAAGGACTATATCGTCTGCATATTCCAAGTCAACGAGATTATTCCCCGGTAGCAAGTCAATCCCTGAGTCGCTGAAGTCACCTAGGGTTAAGTCCATTAACACATCTATGATGAAGTTGAATAGAAAAGGAGATAATGGGCATCCTTGACGGACACCACTGGTCGTCATCAGTTCAGATGACAGCTCGCCGTAAGCCCTCACCTGGCTGTATGAGTACGAGTAGAGTGCCTTAATCAGTGCAATATATTTTCTCGGAATTCCCTTTACAGCCAAGCATCTCCAGAGAACTTCCCGATCGACAGAGTCGAATGCTGCCTTTAGGTCAAGAAATATAATGACTGTTGGACGCCGGTAGGAATGCCTATGTTCTAGAATCTGTCGGAGGGTGAAGATATGATCAATACACCCTCTTCCTGGTCTAAAGCCTGCCTGGCTCTCTCGTGTTTGTGCCTCCCGAGCACCACTCAGTCTACGCATGATTATTGAGCCTAAGACTTTAGATACTATATTAGTCAAGCTAATCCCTCTGTGATTATCACAGGAAGACTTGTCTCCCTTCTTGTATATGGGGATAATCAGTGACTTACACCAACCCGATGGGACTTCTTCTGATTCCCAGACGCTGCCTAGTACCTCAGTTAATGCAGACAGTAAGCTGTCTCCACCGTACTTAAATACCTCTGGAGTCATTCCATCAGGTCCCGCTGCTTTGCCTAGTTTCAGATTGGTGACAGCTTTAGTAACCTCAGTTAGTGACGGAGGACCTGTGTCTATATCCCATTCAGGGAGGTGTTGGATGCTCGGAAGGTTGAGCGTGGCTGTGGGCCAATTAAACTGCTCCTCATAATGCTCTTTCCAACGATCCAGTCGTCTATCCTGGGAGCTAATTATAGTGCCATTTTTTTCCGAGATTGTCTCACTAATGATTTGTCTTCTCCCACCCGTTTCCCTGATGAGTCTAAAGAGTTGCCTGGTGTTGCCTATCCTCGAAGCTTTCTCCATCTCTTTGGCTTTTGTCACCCACCACTGTTCACGGTCCTTGCGGAGACTTTTCGTAAGTTTCCTCTTGTGCAGCTTTCGCTCCTCATTGAATTCGGAGCTCGCCGGAATAAGTCTTCTAGCATCTATCAGTTCGGATGAGGCGGTGGAGATCCAGTGGTTTTTACTCACCTTTGGGTTTACCTTATTCACAGCTTTTACAGCTGTATCTATGGCTGCCTGGATATTTTTCCAAGCTTCTTCAGGGTGAGCACAGCTGTCGAACACAGATATGTGTTTAGCTAGTTCTTCCTCAAATACGGATTTAGTTTCCTGATCGAGCTGGGGACGTGATGGTTTTACCGCCAGCTGTTTCCTACGTCCGTTCAGTCGTAAGCACACCCGAGCGCGGACCAGTGCATGGTCGGTATCTACGCACGTGTTCCAGAAGGAGCGACAATCTCCTACCGACCCACGCCAACGATAGCTTATTGCTATGTGGTCTATTTGTGTCCAGCGTTGGTTTGATGAAGGGGGTCTCCAAGTCAAACAGTGTCTCTCCTTGTGTTTGAAGTTAGTGCTTACAAGAAACAAATGATTATCAGAGCAGAACTGTAGGAGACGGTCACCGTTGTCGGTTCGCTGGCACGGAACTCCATAGGTGCCACCGACATCCTTCTCAGATTGACACAATTTCCCTACTTGAGCGTTAAAGTCACCAGCTAGAACGACTATGTCTGAGCGTTTAGCCTTTCGCACCAAACTAGACAGCTTTTGGTAGAACTCATCCTTCGTTTCATCTGAACTGCAGTCAGTGGGGGCGTAGGCGGAGATTACGAAAAGGCATCGGCGAGTAGTGCAGTCCTTTCTCCTTTTTACTGATCCGTTCAGACGGACAGCACACATTCGGCTATCTACCGGGATCCAGTCAAGCAATGTCTTTTCTGCCCTAGTACTCAAAGCTATCCCTACGCCAGCTAATCCTCGTGAACTAGCTGTGGCATCTCCTGACACCCTCAAGGTGAATTTTGCAGATTCAACCTGTTGGCCAGGTGGGGTTAGGTGAATAACCACACTTGGGTCTTGTATGCGTGTTTCTGAAACACAGCATACATCAATGGCTCGTGATGCCAGGGTCTTGGCTAGTGATGCTTGTTGTCCTATTTGGCAAAGTGTCCTAACATTAAGAGCTCCTATATGAAATTGGTGGCGCGGCTTTAAGAGGCTGTCGGTGGTGGTTTTTTGGCTTCCATCGTTTTTAGTGGACGCAGAGTGGAGAGGAAGTGGAGAGCTATCAAGTCGAGGAGTTGCATCAGTGGAAGGAAGGCAAGATGATAGAGATGAAGATGAAGACAAAGATGAGTGAGTAATAGAGAGGTTTCGCGTGCGTTTCGGATTGTGAGGGCGATTGTTACTTCCCGGCTGCCCACACCGTGGAAGTTGGTTGCGTGACCGCAGAGCCCAGGGGACAACTGCTTGAGGCCGGTCACACGCGGCCTGCTTTTGTTTGTTCTTTGTTGTTTGGTGTGCCTCAGTAGCATATTTATCACTCCTGCCCTGTGACACGGCAGCAGGAAGCGCGGTCGTTGTTAATCCGGGCCACGGCCGATCCGGCATGAAATTTTGTGATTTTGTATTGATCATGATGTTGGATTGGGTAGCTGCTTTTTGTTTAACCGCTATCCAAACAACCTTCCTGGCATGGTAGGACCTCAAGAGACATAAGTCTCAGCCAGTATAGCTTGATTAGGTCATTGCGGTGTTCAAGCCCGACCACCACGTCAAGGTAGCAGCTTTCGGTCGGGCGAACGATTTTGAGTCAGCCATATCCCAAATAAGCGAAGTGGTCAACACGATCTACCACTTCACTCCTGTCTATCTTCAAGCTTGTAGCCAGTTTCGTCCAGTCCTGTAGAATCATCTTACATTTGGCAGGAGCGAATCGCATGCCAAACATTTACAGATTGCGGCTCAAGGTGTTCCGAAGACTCTGCATTTTGTCAGCGTTTTCACCTAGGCGGGAGGACTATATCATCTGCATATTCTAAGTTAGACAGATTATTCACTGATAACAAGCTAATCAATCCCTGAGTCTCTGAAGTTCTGTCTGTCTGTCTGGATTCAACATAGAACTTGGCACCGAAGTGCAGCAGTTCGAGTTGCCACGTTCCAAATAGCACACAGAGGTAGACAAGAAGATGAGTGAAGAGAATTAATAGAGTTTGACAAATATAAGAGTGAAACAGAATGGGTAATGGTAGAAAGGAATATGAAGGATTACAGAGACTGAATACATCTGCGCCATTGACAACGATTTTGAGCCATGTCACCTATTGTCTCCAGCCATTGATTCCTAGAGTCCCGAGGGCCCCAACCCGGGAGTCTGCATCTCCCTACCTGACTCAGTTTAATTGTCAAGGATTTCATGGATTGATGCCATGTTTTTGTTTGGCCACCACTGGCTCTTTTCCAACCTGAACCTATATCAGCTAGCAATGCCCGTCGGGGGAGGCGGTGGTTAGGCATGCGCAGCACGTGACCTAGCCATCTTAGTCTATGTAACTTTATAACCTCGTCGATTGATTTTCCCTCTTTGCCCAACACTCTACGCCAAACATCAACATTACTTATCTTGTGAAACCACCTAACGTGAGAAAGAGATCGCAGACATCTATGATCGAAAGCAGTCAACCTTTTCATGTCTTCAACGCGTATTGACCATGTTTCAGAGCCATAGAGAAGGACGGAGCGATTTGCTGAGCAGTACACACGTCCCTTGGTTGATAGCCGGATGTCACGCCTACGTCAGAGATGGTGTAAGTCAGCGAAAGCAGCTCGAGCTTTTCGGATCCGTGCTGAGATTTCATCGCCAATCAGTCCGTTGGTGCTAATACAACTTCCCAAGTAGGTGAAGTGGTCAACATGTTCTATCACTTCACTCCCTATCACTAAGTTAGGGGTTGACGTGGTCCAGTCCTGTAGCAGCATCTTACATTTTGCAGGGGCGAATCGCATGCCAAACATACGAAGATTGCTGCTCAAGGTGTTCAGAAGACTCTGCATTTTGTCAGAATCCTCCCCTAACAGGACTATGTCATCTGCATATTCTAAGTCCATTAGATTATTCCCTGGTAACAAGTCGATTCCTAAGTCACTACGTTCAGTTAAGGATACTTCCATTAGCATATCTATGATGAAGTTAAACAGGAATGGGGAAAGTGGACATCCCTGTCGGACACCACTGGTTGTTACTAATTCAGATGACAATTCCCCATAAGCCCTTACACGACTACGTGAGTTTGAATAGAGTGCCTTGATTAGTGCAACGTACTTTCTTGGCACTCCCTTCACAGTCAGACATTGCCATAGTACCTTTCGATCCACTGAGTCGAAGGCCGCCTTCAAGTCAAGAAATATGGCAATTGTTGGACGCCGAAAAGTGTGTCTATGTTCTAGAATCTGTCGAAGAGTGAAGATATGATCTATGCACCCTCTACCTGGTCTAAAGCCTGCTTGATTTTCCCTTGTCTGTTCTTCCCGAGTTCTGCTTAGTCTATGCATGATTACTTAGCCTAGGATTTTAGAGACTATGTTCGTTAGGCTGATCCCCCTATGATTATCACACGAGGACTTGTTTCCCTTTTTGAATATCGGTATAATAAGTGACTTACCCCAGTCTGATGGTACTGTCTCTGATTCCCACACTTTGCCTAGTACCTCAGTTAATCTACAAACTAGTTTGTCACCCCCGTATCTAAACACCTCCGGAATAATTCCGTCGGGTCCTGCCGCTTTGCCTCGTTTCAAATTACTGATAGCTTTTGTAACCTCACCTACAGACGGCGGACCAGTGTCTATATCCCATTCGGGTACGTGGTGGATGGCGGGGAGGTTCAGTGTGGCTGTAGGCAAGTTAAATTGTTCCTCAAAGTCTCTGAAGTTAGTTAGGCTTAATCCCATTAGTACATCTGTGATGAAATTAAACAGAAATGAGGATAGTGAGTGGTCATCTCTGACGGACACCAGTAGCTGTCAACAGTTCAGATGACAACTCGCCGTAAGCTCTCTCCTGGCTAGGTGCATAAGTTCGAGTAGAGTGCCTTGATCAGTGCGATGTATCTCCTCGACAGTGACAGTCCACCCTATTCTACTATATCTCTATGAAATATGGTCATGAGAAGTTGGCGCTAGATATTTGATCACTGTTACTTTCCTAGCATTGCTTATGTGGCAGAATCATTACACAAGTAATGCAAAGGAGTTAGAGATGCAAAGTTGTATGTACAGTATACTTTGGGTGGTGGTGGTCGTCGTCGTCGTGAATAGGAAATGTGTTATTTATGCCTACAATCCCTATGTACTATGTCAGTCAAAGTAAAATTAAAGATTAACAAAGGATGTTCAACTAAAAACATGAAATCAATCCCCCCCCCACCTTAAGACTACCTACCACCTCCCATCTTGACATAAAAAAAAGTTATGTACAGCAACTCAAACCTCAAAACTGACAATATCTATGTCAAAATTACAATACAAAGTTGACTGATTACCTGTGTAGAGTCTGAAACTCTTTTCTTTGTCTCACTTCTTTTCTCATCTGAGGCATGTTTAGCTTCAAACTTTCTTTCCCATCTTTCATCAATATCACCAAACTCTTCAGAATGTGCTAAACCAAAATCTACAAGATAAAATCTAAATTGTGATACCAACAATTACAAAAAAACAAAATAACAATTACTGTCGTGTTTTTTGATCCATAAGAAAATTTGTCGGTTTTATATCACGATGAATAATTTTATACTTATGAACATGTGCTAAAGCTGAAAGAAGTGCACGCATATAACGTCGAATTTCTTTTTCATCAGCTGTTAAATAATAATCCTAAAATAAAGCGCTAGGGGAACGGGAAATTATTCTATAACTTACTGTAAAAGGAATGTAATCCACAAAAGGCATTAGAATGAAGACATGATCACGAATTCGCATTGCTGTATGCATTTCAATTACATTGTGTTTACCACTAAGTAAAAAAGCAACAACAAAACAAAATACATAAACTCATTGTAGTTTGGCTACCCAAGTCTTCGTAAAATCCGAACTTCATTCTCAATCCTTCGAATATCAACAGTTGGTATGATCATTTTCAGTGCATAGTATTTGCATTCATCTGTATCTTGCTTACTTTTAACCGCTAGAACAGATGCAAATGTACCCTGTCCTTGTCTTTCAGATACATCAAATAAGTCTGTGATTTGTGGAAACTCAAAAATATATTGTACATTTCGGACCTTGCTTTCAATCATTCGAACAGTATCTGAAAAGGAATATTATAATGATTACATTTCAGAAACTATTGTATGCTGACAGTTTGAAAGCTAAAACTTTAAAAGTAACCAACATATTATGCTTTACACGTTGAGTCATCAGTTAGATTGATATTAGCTAGAGTGAACAATTGTGGTTTCAATAAATTCTTTTTCAGGTTGCACAAATTATAAATCCATCAATTTAAGCATACAATAGCCGGTCATTAAAGGCAAATTATGATCTAGAGGAGCTCAACTACGTCTTTTATCAGTAGCTGAAGCACTAGCAATCAACACCAGAAGACAGAGAAAGTATGTTCAACCGCTATGTTTACCTGGGCCAACAATAAGGCCAGCAAATTCCCCATAAACATTAGCACTTTAAATTCCTATAACAATTTTTTTCTTTTTATTATTCTTTTTCCTTTGTTGCATTGACAAACGTTCATTTCCAACTTTTTACGACTTCGTGACCTTTCTTATGATTTCTACTACCTTAGGGTGAAGTAATGCTTTACTGCCTAGCTATCATATTTACAAAATCCTGTTCATTTCACTTCACTAAGTCCATTATTATTATTATTTGACGATCACTTACCAATAGTACTTTTGAGTTTACACTGCATCATCGTTATTATTTTAAAATCATGACTGTTATTTGTCACCCTTGAAGTTACATCCTGTTTATTTTCCGTTGTAATCACACCACCCTCGAAACCTATACTTTTGTTGACTATGCATATATATATATATATATATATATATATATATATATATCATTAATTCATTTCATCTCATTTGTCTCACGTTCTCACTGACCATGCATATTCAAAAACTAACTGACTACTGTTCCAACCCATCTGATACCTGCTCCACAATACCATTCTGATATGATTCTAATTTGCCTTTACTAGCTATTGTATGCTTAAACCAATGGATTTATAACTGTAAAGCCTGGAGAATAACTTGTTGAGAACAATTTTTCGCTATTTTTGTTCTGAATAGGTTATGGGAATATTCAAGTTAATGAAATGGATATTAACAAAATAGTTGTTACTCCAAGTATTAAGTCGTTTGGACCGTCTTACTGACACCATGCTCTGGGACACAATGTCTGTCTGTCTGTCTGTTTTCGACATAGAACTTTGCACAAATGTGCGGAAGTTCAAGTCGCCACATTCCGTGTAGCACGCGAAGCAAGAGAAGAAAGTACAAGAAAAGCATAATAGAAACAGTGAGCAGGTGTGAGACAAAGGAGTAATAAAGAAATACAAAACAGTTTCATTGAAGATCATAAGTCACAGGGAGTGGATGCATCTGCGCTGGCCACTGAGAACGATTTTGAGCCATGTCACCAATTGTTTCCAACCATAGATTTTTACCGTCCCGAGGACCCCAGCCTGGAAGTCTACACCTTCCTACGTGGCTAAGACCAACTGTTGTGGATTTCATTGACTGATGCCAAGTTTCTGTTTGACCGCCGCTAGCTTTTTTCCAGCCTGACCCTATATCCGCTAACAATGCTCGTCGAGGGAGGCGATGGCTTGGCATACGTAACACATGTCCTAACCATCTCAGTCTTTGTAGCTTCACGACTTCGTCGATTGATTTCCCCTGTTTACCTAGAACTCTACGCCTAACCTCCATGTTGCTCACCTTATTATGCCACTTTACACGGGAAATAGAACGCAGGCACCTATGATCAAAGACAGCTAGTCTTTTCATGTCTTCCACTCTCAGTGGCCAGGTCTCACAACCATAAAGGAGGACGGAGCGGACTGATGAGCAGTACACCCGCCCTTTGGTCGATAGTCGAACATCTCGGGACACAATGAGACGGACGAAAACCATATTTTACTTCACAAGTACGTTTTGAACACCAGGAGAGGAGATCCCAGCTGAAACACTACGATACCTGTCGAATGAGCCCGAATGAGTCCATGCACCTTATGTCGAAAACCATGTTTAATTACACTTGAACTCCAGTCACTCTGTATATATACGTTTAGCCTGTTTATGCTTTGGTGTGTGGAAAACCTATTTTTTAGCAAAATTAAACATATTTACCAAAGATAACGAGGATACTAATCATCCTGGTGAACCTCGCCAGATACTAGCCTGCTAGGCTACTAGCTTACTAGTTTTCTAGCCGGTTCCAAGCCCGGATAAAGAGGGAGGGTTGGGGAGTGGTGCTGGCAAATCCACCCCTGTAAAACAACCAAATCATTACAGAAACTTCAACGAATAAATATATTAAAAATTCTAAAAACATAAGCAATCATCCTGATGCGATCAACTGTAGGAAAATCTACGTCAGTAACAACACTTCGAATCGTTTCACAAGCACACGAGAGAAAGCATTTAACTAAGCTATTATGGTGCAAAACTGTACAGCTCTGGTGACCTGTGATTCACCGATATGCTCGATAGTTTGTATTGATATATTCTAACTCTCCCAAAGCATGTTTTGATACGTATGAAGAGTAAAATAGTTAAAAAGTGCAGGTCGATTAGTACGTTGTCAATGCATTTAAGGAAATTCAAAAACTAGTGAACATAGAAACAGTTAGCCTGACTTGTACATATGAAAGTCCACTTGAAATTATTGAACTTATGTCTGTGCCACTAAACTCTTTAACCTCGACCTTGAAAAGTAACACTGCAAAACACTATGCGGGTCTGAATTCTCTGGGCCCGTTGCAAATACTATTTTCTTCCAGAAACTATTTCTGAAGATATAGAATTCGTTAAGTAAATTCATCTGCATACAATTACTGATTTATCCACTATTAGCCCACTCAGTGCATCAATGATATTGAATCATTCAGACCGGTCGAATGTTCAGATCTAATAATGCATGCTATAGAAAATAGGTGTTATAACTGTAGGGAATTAGATGAAGACGTTTTCACCTTATTCTGTCTGCGCCTGAACTAATCTGCCTATCTGCTCGTCGTACCTTCCGACTTAGTCAAGCACGCAAATATCAAAAGACAAAGGCTGGACTGTGACTGTGTATTGAAGTGCAACAACGATAAAGAAAGCCATGGTATTTATACATTTTACAACAATATGGACAGCTAACAGCATTTGAAATAATTTATCTTAATAGCCAATAACAAAGTGCGTGAGAGATGATAATATACCATATGTGCGAGGTTGACAGTCAGTAACAAAATGTGTGGGAATGATAATATACCATATATACAAAATTAGCAGTCACTACCAAAATGTGTGAGAATGATAATATACCATATATACAAGATTAACGGTCACTACCAAAATGTGTGAGAATGATAATATACCATATATGCAAGATTAAACAGTCAATACCAAAATATGTGGGATCCTATCAATAGGACACAATATTGAATTCAAAAATGTTGGAGTACTAGGAAAAGGCCTTCGCTCATGCCACGAAAAGTTAGTCTGAGAAACCTTGCACATTTCAACTACATTAAACGACATGGGAGAGGGAAGATTGATTAATCACCTATCAGACTAATATATGTGTAAAACTTGGGCACCGTGGTAGTAAGTAATTTCACATTAGTTTGTTTATCAGATTTACCAACCCGTGAAATAGTATTATTTACTGGATGACGTTTTGAACAAAATTTATTGTTCATAATCTTATCAATTATAATAATAATAATGATTATAATTAGTATGATTATAGACAATAAATTTTGTTCGAAATGTCATCCAGTAAATAAAACTGTTTCACTGTGTGATGCATCTGGTAAACAAACTAGCATGAAATTACCTATCAGACTGACAGTAATGATTTACGATCCAAACAAATTAATTTGCGATTACTTTCGCCTTATCTCGGGGCTCCTCCACCGAGACGCGTCTGTGCACGTAACCATGATGTGCCTTATTCCTAAGTTGTTTTCGTATGAAAATCACCTGATCAATGCTGCACTGCGATTTGCACTACGTATTCCGTTCCGTTCCCAGTGAAAAATAGAGCCTAAAGCTTCAGCTTTGAGTTTTCATTAGCGGTGGTTTTATTTTTATGGGGCATCGTTCACACTCAACCTTCCCTCGTTACCAGGATTGCTGTCGGCTTAGCGAGTGCGTCAGCCGGGGTTTGAGCCACAGACCACGCACATAGTCGGCCACCTTTCTCCCAATGAACCACCGACGCATCATTTTGCACTAGGCACACCTTGAATTTCGTTAATATGTTGGCCGGCCACACTAGCGAACGTATCTCCAGCTACATTCAAAAGCTTCCCACACTTCTGAATAAAAAGAGTGATAAATAGGCCACAAAATATTTGTACTTACCAAAGTAGACCACTAGCGCCCTCATCACAACCTAGCTGCTATGGAGCACTGTCAGACTTACGTGCGGTACAACTTCTTCTTAAATAAGTTTTCAGTCATTTGGAATAGACTACCAGCTAATGTGCGCGATGCAAACACACTTCCAGTGTTCATCTCCTCAGTCACCAGACTGCTCAAAGATGACAATGCACTTATACGTCTGACTCTTACACCCTCTTTTTCACCCTACATAGATATTTTAAGTTGTTTAAACGTGTAGTTACAGCAAACTACAATTATAAATTTTAATATTATTGGAACTAGATGATTAACATTTCTACACAGGACAGTAATATTAGTTCACACATAATATAAAAGTTAGCATAACGGGACTAGTTAGTTTGTGTACCAAAATAACCACAGTTACTAAACAGAATATATATGTATATATTTATTAATCACTCCTTAAGGACTCCCGTTGCTTTCTTTTGCGTTGCTGTTGTTTGTCTTCTTTTTTCTCTCACCATTTCAGCTTCCATTTGACTTTTTGAATGAGAATGAATAATGTGGATATTTGACCATTTACAATGACAAATGATCTGCAAACATTATTGGTCCCGTATCTTTCAGTTGCCTGGTTAATAACGAATTAACTTTCTCCACGACGCAACCTGGATTACATTTGTGGAATATACTCTTATACCAATGGAAAAGTATCAATTTGTAATACAACTTCACGATTGTAGCTTATAACATAACTGATCGTATCTGTAAAAATAGCTTCCTTATTACCCAATTTGGATATAAATCAAATCAAAAATGAGATTCGGATTTGTACACACCCAGGTTATATTGAGGAATTACTTCAAGCTTTATTTTTTCCCAAGTATTTTTAATCCATCCAAAACTTACTTGGGTTTTTTTGTTAATGCGAAGACAATATTCCTATATTTCATGATGTGCTCCATTGAATGACTTGTTATATTGTGGAATAACTTCAGGCTTTATTTTTTCCCAAGTATTTTTAATCCATCCAAAACTTACTTGGGTTTTTTTGTTAATGCGAAGTCAATATTCCTATATTTCATGATGTGCTCCATTGAATGACTGGTTATCATATTGTTCCCACAGACCTAAAAAAATGGCATGCATTTTCATGTAAATTTATATGTTTATATGAGAATATACATTATTATAATTATTATTAAAACAAAAACGCCAGCAACCATGTAACTTAACCATAAACCGAATTTATGAAATTTAATTAATGCTTATCCATGCCTGTATATTTGGTGTGTCCTACACAAGTAGGAAAAAATGTGTACTTTATTAAAACATTATTATTAATTACGATTGCTAATCGTATATGTAATTTATCATATTGATGATGCCTGTAAACTGGCGTCTCTCATGTACAAAATGAGAATATACTATTATTATTATTATTATTATTATTATTATTATTTGCTCATAATGGAAGATGATCCCGTTACTTACGAGTAGTTTGAAGGAAACAGTGACATATCATTTCTTTAAAAGATTCAGTGCAGCCTCTGTATGGACCACTGAATTCCTTCGCTACTGTAGATGGAGATGAACACTGAACGTTTGCTTTTGGAACTGGTAGTCACTGGCGGGCGACTCGAAGGCGCGAATGGTTCGATCATGTACAAGTTCGACGAAGACGATCACAAACGAACAAACGTTACAATAAGTTTGTATAAAACATCTGTTTGTAGACTTGCGTTGTTCTCCACTTTAATTGCCAAACAATATAATTTCCTTCTTACAATACTGGTGTTTTGGATTTAAAGTCGAAGAAAGTTCATAGTATTTATCGGTGTGGAGCGTCTTTGTAACAATAGGAAATTAGGGATAAGTTCCCTGACAGTTTTTATTCATTTTCTGGACCGCCCTCTGGAGCAGATTCTATTCCTCTGTCCGTTTTCTGGGGAGCCTTCTGAAACTTCCTGGATTACTTAATGGAACTGCAGCCAGCTTCTATTTGGACACGGATTTTCAACGCAATTTGGATTCTTTGATGACGTTGGGAAATGCCTGGGTCAAGGAAGGGATGTGGCATTATGGAAGCAGACAAAAAAGTAAGTAATGCTGACTTGCCTGTTAATATTAATGATATGCACGAAGCTCAGCATGATGAGTCTGAAGTTCACCCGACGCCGTTTAGAGATAGTAGTGTTTTAACACTCCCCAAGTTTGAACCCCGGTACTTTCTTGGAAAACACAACGACTACCCAAAGTTGTTCGAAGACTTTGAGATCAGGTTGAGTGGAATTCTTTTAACTGACTAAATGAAGTTAATATATTTGTTGAGGTACTGCACTGATGTTGCTGCAAGGTCTATACAGTGCTGTAAAGATATGCCCCCCAAAGGAGGATACACTGAGGCGATGCGCATGCTGCGTCAAGGGTTTGGGAAACCTTCGATGATTGTAAGGAACGTATCCAAGGCTGTTAAAGGTAATGGTAGTCAATTACGCGATGACTCAAAGGCACTCTCTGAGTTTTTTGATAATCTGATGACTTACAAGAATACTTTGATTTCGATGAACTGCATGAGCGATCTGAACTCAAGTTCCGTCCTAGAGGTAATAGCGAGACGCCTATCTACTCGACTGCAAAGGAAGTGGGTGAAGATAAGCAATCGTATGGAGGATGAAAGTATTGAGTCAAAGTTCGATGATATTCTGAAACCCGTAAAAGACAGCGTCAAACAAGCTATGAGCAAGTTTGCCAGTATATTACATCTCACCCCTAGAATAGAGCAGTCTGAGAGCAAAATGCAATCATTGATGACGAAAGGGCCTCAGAGAGGTGGATATCGAGAAGGCTCCATGATGTCTAGTAATGTTACACCAATTGTATAGGCATGCATAAATATTTTTTTAATAATAATAATAATGATAACATGTTTCTCCCTGTTTATGCAGGAACATACCTATTGTGCAGGCATGGATGTGTTTTTATTTAAATTACACAAAATTTGATGTATAATGGATTTACAGTTTGGTTGTTCTTTCTGACATCAAAGTCAGTCGGAACAGTCTGCTATAAAGTTTGTTTGTGTAGCACATAAAGAGATATAGAAATATTGTCTTCTCATTAACAAAAAACCCAGACATCAGATGAATGTAATACAAATATCTGGGAAAAATAAAGCTTGAAGTCATTTCTCTTACATAACTTTGTTGTGAACAGCACCCTTGCCTTAAAGATTATTGGTGTATTATCTTGAGATCAGTGATATATTTATTCCATTTCTCAGTAGTCTTATCGTAGTTTCATAACAGGGAAGAAATTTGATCGTGGAGATGAAAACTAGATAAGGTCATGTTAAGTTGTTTTACTGCATCAAATGG